TGTGGTAAGAGCAAATTAATACGTTTTAATTTATTGTTTCAGAGAGGCTGATTCCTATTTGTGTAGAGATATTAAATTACGTAAAAGGTATCGATAAAAGGCTGAAAACTTTAGAAAGAGGAATTAATGCCGAAGAACCTAATATAAATATATTTGATGATATACTTCCAATCAACTCCATAGAGAATCTTAAAAAACTTGAGGAAAAAATAGGAAATACTGAAACAAAAGCAAAATTTGTAAGTTGATTTTTGAATTTATTATGTGAGTAATAGTATGTTGAATAACATTTCATTTATTATTTATTACATATAAATGTGTTCATGGTCTAATAAAATTATACGCTTATCAGATGGAATTTGTGAAAAATATCGGAGGAAAAGGCGCCAAAAATGTGGTGCAACGGTGTATGAGCCGTTTATTTACAAATCAATTTGGCATATCTTGTTCTTGGTGTGGTCGTAAGAATAATCATCGCATGTGCGATTTGAAATGCATCCACATCGTAAAAGGTGAGCTATTTCAACAAGTTGCATATTTTTATCCTTTGTCTTGATTATTTCTTTGTCTAGATTAGTAGAAATTTACTTGTAATATTAACTATACTGTTGAATGTTTTTTTAGGTGTGTTCAGAGCCAAAGGTATAGACGAAAGCGACTTCGAAACCATTGCAAGTGAATGGTTTCGCCTCAGTAAACTACGACACTTACGCGAAAATAAAAAAGTATTGCCTGAAAATGAAGATGCAAACGGAGACGAAACGGAGACACTACCTGTTATGTAACTTTTGTTGATACTTCTATTGCACATGTACTATTGCTTTCAAACTATTGAATAGTGTCTATATTTTATATAATAAAATTATATAATATATTTTAATTAATATATTTACTATAAACTATAATATTTACTATAAAGGTCGCTTAATTTCATGAAAATTTTGTTTTTTAAATTACTGGCGATATATAATTTACCACTTTATAAAGTTTTGATTACTACTATATACTATACAGTTTTGTTGAAATAACAATAATTAATATATTGTATGTATGTATACAATAATTTAAATATGCAATACTAAAGTTGCAATAATAAAGTTTTATCATAACATATTGAGAGATCATTTCAGTAATATATATAAATTCATGTAATGCAACAATATGCATATAAAAATTAATATATAAATATATTAATATTCTATTTACTTATATTTTTTAATTCATGATGTTATATATCAATATTTTGTTAATTATAGATAAAGATTATCTATAGATCTAGATTTTGAAATATGAATAATGATATCTTTATCTATATAACAAATATTTATAACATTATGAATTAAAAATATAAGTAGGTAAAATATTATAATATATATTTCTTTTTATACGCATATTGTTATATTACATAAATAAACATAACCTGCACTCCCATGTTATATTACATAACCTATAGAAATACGTAATATATATGTTAATGTTACATTACGTTATATAGAAAATATGTAACATATACATTAATGTTATATTACATGATATGAGAAAATACATAACATATAGGTCTACGTTACGTTACAGTAACATTACCTGAAAATATATATGGTATATAAATGATACATTTAAAGTTGCTGACATAGAGCCATATCAGCTACGTAACATTTATCTTATAAGTAATATAACATGTAACATTTTTAGGTACTCATGTTACGTAACATTTACTTCTATGTTATGTGTTGTGGTTTGCTGGG